TTTGAAAATAACAACCTTTGGAAGCTATTTACGACATCTGCAACAGCCCAATTACCCACAGTTCTTGTTTGGGGCATGCATCTAACCGCGTGCCAAAGCTTATCTTCATATACAAAGGCATAATTTATAAGCATATTTGCCTGACCAGTTGTATACATCATATTTACCGATGCCACTGCTGTGTCTCGCAACATCCTTTCTCATAGAATTCATTCTATCCTCGATTTCACCTGAAGTCAGAAAAAGGGTTGTCATTTTAGGCGTTATAATGAGATGAAAGGTGATATGTTTTACGCCACGTCCTGTCAAATCTTCATGCTTCATAATAGCAGTGGGCGGTGGCAGAATAATGGTTAAAGCGTTGTCTCGTCACGCCGAAGACCCTTGTTCGATTCCCCACATGGGTACAATGTGTGGAGCCCTGGTGTCCCCCGCCGTGATATTGCTGGAATATCGCTGAAGGTGGCGTAAAGCTAATCTCACTCACTCACAAATAACAGCGGCCTGTTAATAGTCGTGTCTTGACGAGACAAAACGTGAGAGTGACAGCACGAGTAAACAAACCCCCCATCGAGTGCGAGGATACAATCAACCAGTTATACATTGTACATCTAGATTATGCTCATTAAACTGGGCAATTTGGTATCTACACTGAAAGTCTTCTCAGTGAATTGTGGCCAGGCTACGCTCCAGACGTTGTATTTGTTAATGGCCAACAATCTACCAACAATGGATTATGTGTAGTTATTCACTGCAGAATATCTATTATCTACAAACAACAAAGCCACATATAAAATGGTCAAAAACCTGTGAACAAATTTCAAAACACGTTCATCATTCCTCACACAGCACGTTTACAGTTAGTTTACCGTATTTGGAGCGTTCACTTTCCCGTGCTGCCTCCAGGACATCCAGTCGGGATAACACCTGCTGCCATGGATCCTGGTCGGGGGCTACACACAGAACATGTCATCCGTGAGAAAATGAAGTGTCAACAATCTACAGTAAACCCTGGATACAAGCAGCTGAAGAACGATGCTCTTCTATCAACCCGTCACGCAACCGACTGTAAGACAACGCTCCCTTTATCGACCTTGATTAGAACCGGCTTCAATACAACGCTTTTTGATCCTCTCCATAGTAAAACAACCTGCTGTAATACGACGTTCTTTCAACAACCTCGATTATAACCTACCATTATACGACGCTTTTTCAACAACCCCGGTTATAACTAACCATTATATGACGCTCTTTCAACAACCTCGATTACAACCTAGTGTAAGACGATGCCCTTTCAACAACCCAGATTACAACTTAGTGTAAACGACGCTCTTTTAACAACCGCAATTACGAGCTAGTGTAAACGACGCTCTTTCAAAAGGCCCGATTATAACCTACCATTTTACAACCCTCTTTCAACAACCCCGATTATAACCTACCATTATACGACGCTCTTTCAACAACCCCGATTATAACCTACCATTTTACGACGCTCTTTCAACAACCCCGATTATAACCTACCATTATACGACGCTCTTTCAACAACCCCGATTATAACCTACCATTATACGACGCTCTTTCAACAACCCCGATTATAACCTACCATTAAACGACGCTCTTTCAACAACCCCGATTATAACCTACCAGTATGCGACGCTCTTTCAGGAACCTCGATTACAAGCTTGTGTAAAACGAAACTCTTTTAACAATCCCGATTACAACCTAGTGTAAACGACGCTTTTTTATCAACCACGAATGGAACCTACTGTGAGACGATAACCCCGAATGAATATTCATGAACGTACCATCCTGGGTTGGATTCCGAGCCTCTGTTTTGTCCCATCCAGGTGGAGGTGGAGGTGGAGGAGGTGGGAACAGTCCGCCATGGTTGAAGCTGAGCACCGCTAGTACCGGCACACCAAGAAGGAACCAGAGACTGAGGCACGCTATAGGGAGCTTCATGACAGAAGTATTTCTATCCTGCTTGTCCTACCGGTGTTGTCCTTATTTATACACGTAATAATACTATGGGTGACGCAATGATATTGTTGTGATCGGTGCGTAAAGGGTATTTGATCAAGAAATAATACATAAGATGAAAGATGCTTAAGGTTCTTGCAACGTTTTGCTAAAGTTTTTCTTTCAACTTTCAATACAAGTGTGTCACGGATATTCGCGCAGATGTTCGAAGGTTGCCTGTTTCAACCAACAGCATTAGAGGGAGATCGATATCGTTGATTGGCATTTGTGGGAACCAGTGCTCACGTCAGCCTCCATTGTTTCACATATTCATGAATCAGTTTATACCGAGGCAGCAAACCTTGCCCTACTTTGACACAATAAGTGTTTCAATAAGTATGACCTTGTCAGCCATAACATCTAAAGAATTGGTGCAGAGAGGCGACTTTGCGTTTAACTTTACGAGATCTCGCCATGGATAAGTGCGTGACCCAATAACATTTTGTAGAATATGTATTCTCTGAGTGTGCCTGCTAATAATGAATATTGGCTGTAACGATCATTTATTGTAATCATTTCAACAACATTAAACAAACCCACTAATGACTTACTTGTGCACATGTCTGAAGTGATAGGCAAAGAGAAATATAGACGTTTTCGTATGTACTTGAAATTAGAAATAATTGTTAAAGAGAGAGAGAGAGAGAGAGAGAGAGAGAGAGAGAGAGAGAGAGAGAGAGAGACTTGAGTTGAATAGAGAGTACAAGAGAGAGAATTATTGAATATCCAGTACAACCAGAAATGATTGAGAATTTAAAGATTGTAAATGTATTATGTTTTTCACTCATTACTCACGTATTAAATGTGAATATTAGCAGAACATAACTCCAGATTCAAAGACAGGTAAACAGTTAATATTTTGTCAAGTCACCATAGGCAGCAATGCAGGCTTCAATGCGGCGGGGCATACTACTGATCAAAGAGGTTAGAACGTCGTGGTCCATGCTGTCCCAATATCGGACCACCTCTTCTTTCATTTCAGCAATATTTGTCAGATTATTCTTATTGACACTTTCCTTCATAAGTCCCCAAACATTTTCTATTGGATTTAGGTCAGGGCTATAGCTTGGCTAATCTTATAATGTCATATTTTGGGTCCGAAACCAGGCCTGTGAATGCTTTGAACGATGTTTTGGGTCGTTGTCCTGCTGGAAAATCCCAAAAATTTCCATAGAACACGTGAGCAGATGGAAGTAAATGTCCCTCGAGAATATCTGTGTACCGCTCACTGTTCATATTCCCTTCAAATACACAGAGGGGCGTTGCCCCTAACACATATGTTCCACCCCACACGTTAAATTTCGGACTGTACTTTGGGCGCTGATACAAAGGTTTTTCAGTTTGTTTGGTCCAGAATTTCAGTGTATTAGGAAACAGCCACACAGAACTTTCATCTGAGAAAATCACACTGTCCCAGTTAAAATTTATATGCTGTAAGCATCAGTTCAACCTTCGCTCCTTTTGTTCAGGTTTCATGATCGGTGATGGAATTCCTCGACTTTTCTGCCAACCAATTGCATGCAGCGCAGTTCTAATTGTCTCCTTACAGACAGCCACAGTTCCTCTATCAATCATATCCAGCCTTAAGTTTTCTAAACTCCTTCGTTTGTTTTTAGAAACAAGAATACCAAGCCGCCTCCTGTCACCGACAGTCAATTTCCTGGGCCTACCTGCGCCTCCCTAGTGCTCACTGCCATATCCATTTGCAATATTTTTCAAAACACGATAAACAGTGGACAAAGGGATGCCTGTTCTACTTGAAATCACTTTAGCTGATCTGATGTCCTTGTTATAATACTCTAAAATCAACTTCCTCTTCTCTAAATCATCCATGCTGAGGATCACTGAAAATGTCGTCTGCTAGCAAGTGAGCAAAGGGGGATAACTCTTCACAAACTAATGAAAAAGGATTAACGGAGTTGTCTCTCTTAAATGAAACCAAGCACTTGATAGCTGGTCAAGGTTGTTTATACTAGAAATCTATATCTGATGTTTCAAACGTTCAGTAGCGTGTATGGCCACCCAGTGCGTTCACAACTGCCAAGCAATGCCTCCTCATGGACTGTCTGATGCGTGTAAAACACATTATTCGGGAGTCGGTGCCATTGTTCCTGCAATTTCTTGGGTTGGTTCCTGAGACTGCAAAGACGTCTATTCCAGATGTGCTCGATTGGATTGAGATCAGGTCATTCAAGAACGTTGATCCCTGCGTTCTGCAGGTAATTCCTGGTCAAGTTGGCTGTGTGGCTTCTGGCATAGACATGGACCATGTGCGCCCATGAATGGAATAAGTTCGGGAACTAGCACCTGGATGTGGTAACCTGCAGCATTAATGTTCCTACGGATAATCAGAAGTCGGGAACGGGCAATCCCACAGAAAGCACCCCAAACCATGACACTTCCGACCCCAAATCTGTCAGCTCCCTGAACACTGAGCATACCGTTCACGGCGTCGCCTCCACACTCTCATCCCAGCATCAGCGAATCTGAGGGTACATCTTGATTCATCACTGAAGACAACTCGATTCCAATCTCTCTGAGTCCATTGGAGGTGTCTTCGGGCCCACAGCAAACGCTGACGACGATGTAATGGCGTCGAAATGGTCCCGCGATATGGTCGTCGAACATGAAGGTGAGCAGCTCGCAGTCAGTTTCGGATGGTTTGTGCCGACAGTCGACCCCTAAACAGCTCATTTCTGGTTCCTGTAGCCGTCACCAAAAGGGTTAAGGGGGTGACGTAACACAATGTGACGGTCCTTCGCCTGTACCGTCACACGTGGTCGACCTGGCCTAGGGCGATCAGCAGTGGTGCCAACGGCACTTTCACGCTGCACATTTGAGAGGCGCCGGATAAGAATTGGCTGTTCTGAATAGTGCCTTTAGTCACCTTGTGCAGTTGATGGGAACATGTGCGATCGAATGCACGTGTAATGATAAGATCACGTGACCAGTGGCACGTGAAAAACACGTTTTAGCACGATGTTTGGATTGACTTAAATGTGCTGTGGTGAGTTTTTTCTTGAGTCGATACTTGGGGATTAATATTATGATACCCGAAAACTGTCTACTATAACAATTCATGTCTTTAGAATTGTGAAGATTTTAGTTTGACTCAGTATATCTTCGCAGATGATAGAAGGGAAACGAAGATTTCTTCCAAAATGAAATTTTGTAAACAATACTTAAGGGTGAAAAAAACTACATTAAATGGTATGGTCTTGGCAGTGTGGCACACTTCTATTACAGCATGTGTACATGTCAAGAATGATCAAATTCTGGTGTAGACATATACATATGCCACAAAATAGACTCCCACATCAATGTTGTTTATTGTTAAGATCATTAGATAGATTAGGCTATAATACCTGGGTAACTAAAATTAGACACATCGTGTTTCAATATGGATTTGGTTATGCTTGGCTAAACCAGGAAATTTGGAAATGTGGAATATTTTGTGTATGTATTCAAGCTAAGGCTAGGAGATAATTTAAAACAATCTTGGTACTCATGAATTAGTGAATCTCCTAAATGTATGTTTTGTAAGGAATTTAAAACTTTGCTAAATGTTATATAATGTTTTGTGATATCCCTATGCATTTAAGAATTGCTATATCAAGGTTTAGATGCTGTAATTTTAATACTGCGGTTGAGCGTGAAATTGAATATAACGAAAGACTATGCCCTTTTTGTAAAACCAGAGGCCAGCTTTATATAGAAAATATATATCATGTACTATTTATTTGTAATGCCTATGTTAAACACAGAAGTAATTATATAAATATATAACAAAGCACACTAAAGAACCACATACTCATTACTCTTTTGTAAATCTTTTGCAAAACAAAAATGATGATGTTATATACAATGTTGTCCAATACTTATATCATGTACAGAAATTGATAAACTCAAGGACGTAGAGCTGCAAAGTTAAAATGCGCACTCACTAAGTAAACTATTCAAAAGAATTCAAGGAACAGTGGTAATTTAGGGTCAGAAGCTTTAAGTAAATATACTGGAAAATTTACAGAGATTGGGTGCAAAATAATGATTGCATTTGACCGACAACTAGTAATGGTTTAAATGTCACGTTATGTTAGGACGATAAACCAATAGAATTTTGAAGGGTTTGAAGTTGGAAATTAGACATTTCCCGCATATTTTAGTTCCAAGCTGAGGCTTCCATAAGTCTTATTCTCCCGAATACACCGTCTGCGTGAGAGCAATATAAGGTCACGACGTCAGCTGTACATCCACCACTGCTTCCACATCACCGAGTCAACCGTTTAACATGGGCCAGACACCATTTGCATTAGAACCGACGCCAGTGGAACCATGTGCTCTTCACTGATGAGTCTGTTTGCAGTACAATGATGGCCTTGTTTATGTGTACAGACGTCCGGGCGAGAGGTTTTCTGACGTCAACGTTACGGAACGAAACAGGTTTGGCGGGGGGTCAGTTATGGTGTGGGGTGGCTTCAGCAATGGTCACCGCACTCCTCTCTATCACATCCAAGGGAATCTGACTGCAATAAGGTATGGGGATGAGATTTTGCAACCCCTTGTTATTCCAGCCCTAAACGCCATTGGTCAAGCAGCCATTTTGCAGGACGATAACGCACGACCACACCGTAGGAGAGTGGTCATTGACTTCCTGCAACAAAACAATGTCAACACCATGCAGTGACCGGCCTATTCACCCGATCTAGCGCCCATTGAACACCTGTGGGACGTGTTAGGGCAACGTGTAAGGATCAATTATCCACCCCCTGTAAATGCTGCACAGTTGTTGCAATTCCTGCAACAAGAGTGGTTGGCTATTCCCGAAGACAATCTGAGGAATCTTGTTGCATCGATGAGACGACGCTGCCTCGCCTGCATTGAGAGCAGAGGGGGACACGCGGTACTAGAGAACACTAGTTCCTGTGACTTTTGCAAGTGACCCCTATCACGGTAGTAGGTGCATTGTGTCCATACACTGCTTGTGTTTGATCTGCATTCATGGGATTTTAGTTCTGCAATGAATTGACCATAACCACACACAAAAAGAAATTTCATCGTATCATATATGTGTTTTCTTTATAATAAAAAACCTAGGTGTTCCTTAGATTCTTTCGAGTAGTATACATTGTCATACACTGATTGTATTATGGGCGAGGGCCTCTTTACTGATTAAACACTGTCTGTCTGTCTGTTAATCAAAATATATTCCTGAAATGTTTTTGTGTTCAATATATCATTGACTTAGATACTGTGTAAATATTCCCTTTCACCAACTTCAGTAAATGATTACATTTTTTCACCAATGTATCTAACCCAACGACAACTGGCGTCACACTAAACACTATTTGCGTACTGATCAACTTTAATGTAGGTGTAGCTATGTGATAACCCCTGAGTGTGTGCTCAGAGACATAGGGATGTCGGGCCCTTTGGACTCGGATTTTAGACAGATGTATGATATGTTGTATTGATACTAGTATGTAACTATACACTTAACCCCTCTAAACGTTCAACTTGTCTGATTCAGTAGATTCAGTGTATGAGCAGCCGTCAATTGAACTATTTCAGTCAGAGGTAGAATATTTGAAACGTTTATCAACGGAAACGGGACCTCTTCAGTATTCACCTGTTATAAGTAAATGTTCTCCTAAGTATTTTAATAACTAAACTTATTTCATATTTCTGTTAGTTTTTCTTGTTTTGTCTTTCTTAGTGTTTAATAGATGTTATTGACAAATGAATGTTTTATGCTTGTTGTGTGTGCTAACACATTTTAACTTTGTTTCAGACATACTTGAAGCTTGGCTGGAGCGTTTCATCTTTGGTGTTACCTGTACAAATAACACCTGAGCAACATCAAAGGGTGGAGTCAAAGAACGTGTGACAAGGGGCGTGTCTGTCTCGTATCACCTGACAGGCCGTCAGGTGACCGAATGTGACAGAAACCTTGGCAACCAAGTCAGTGTCAGACCTGGGGACTGAACCCGTAATTTGCAGTAGGGTACAAATATCCACACTTCGCTGTTAACTGAGCCACGGAGGTCGTTTTAGTGAGTGAGTGAGTGAGTTATTATTTAACGTCACATCGGCAATATTTCAGCCATATCGTGACGAGACCATATTTGACATTGAAATGGAAGATATGTATATTATAAAAACCTGTCGACGAAGGACAGTCAAACAACTAGAATATCACAATTACAACTAAACTAGTGTGGAAAGTTAAAACTGATAGCACTATTTAGACAATACAATATAAAAACAGGCTACAGATCGCCAACAACTGAAGGTAGATCACCATACTAGGGACCATGGGAACTTACAGTACCTTTGCTACCTGCATGGACCCTAGTTGGATTTACACCATCCCTTCAGCTGTTGACGATTGTAAGAAATGTCAGCCAAATTAAAATAACTGGTAAATTTGTATTGACTTTGAAATTTTGAGACTTACGTACCCTCTCAGGAGGACAATAATTTTACGCTACTTCAACCCGCTTTGAGGATACAGACACTAACAATCTAAGTTGATAATCTGAACTACCAATTATATAACTTTATCTATTTACAAAACATATCAAAACTCATTTAACAAATCTATCTCTTTTCAAAAATCAATGATTAAATGATAATTAACATTATTAAAAAGGTCCTTTACTGTTTTGATATTGAAATATTCATCCCTTATGATGGGGAATTCAACACAGTCAAGCAGGACGTGCTTGACCGTGGTTCTCTCATCACAAGGGATACAAAACGGAGGATCCTCACCTTTCAATAGGTATGCATGAGTATATCTTGTGTGACCAATACGACATCGTCGTATGATGACCTCTTCAAATCTGGACTGACAACCCAAGTAAGTGTAACCGATATAGGGTTTTATTTCATGTAATTTATTAATACCGACTTGGGTGTCCCACTTCTTTTGCATCAGATCACGGATATAAGATCTAATAGCTGTATGGAATAAGAAGTGGTGTCACAGATTTGTTGAGTGCTGCCTTGGCAGCAAGATCGGCCATTGTATTCCCAGAAATACCAACATGGCTGGGTAACCAACAAAAGACAATATCGCATTGGCCAGTAGCAAGATCATTATAAAGTTCAATAATCTCAATTAAAAGTGGATGTTTACAAGAAAGATTTTTAATAGCCTGAAGGCAAGAAAAAGAATCTGAAAATGTGATATATTGTTTACATTTAGGGTGTCTATTAATATATTTAAGAGCTGTTAGTATTGCATTAGCTCTAGCTGTGAATATTGAGCTGTCATTAGGTAATCTGGAGGATATTGTTCTGGATCCAATGACAGTGGCACAAGCAACTGCGCCACCATCCTTGGACCCATCTGTAAATAAGGATTTGTATGTATTATAGTTACTTGTCAATTGATTATATTCTTGTTTATATTGTAATTCATTAGTTTCCGATTTCTTATACTTTGTCAGTGTTAGGTCAACCTGTGGCCTCACTAATTGTCAAGGAGGAGAAGAAAGAAGACGGGAAGGAGATATACTCTCTAGCTCAATGCCAGCAGCAGAGAGGAAAGGTTGTATTCTTATTCCTAGAGGCGGAATAAGAGATGAAGACTTGCTGTACAGATCCTCATAAAGAGGATGAAAAACACAGTTAAATGCAGGGTTAGACTCATTAGAATATAATTTTGTAATATACTGTAAGGCTAGTTTTATACGCGGTTGGTTAAGAGAAGGCTCATCGGCCTCGACATACAGACTGTCAACAGGAGAAGTTCGAAAGGATCCAAGGCAAAGTCTTAATCCTTGGACGGAATCCAATATTTTTAGGTTGCTTTTACAGGCTCCACCATAGACGATGAAGCCATAATCAAGTTTGGACCGTATAAGCGCTCGGTACAGTTGAAGGAGTTTTTTTTTTATCCCCTCCCCACTTGAATTAGAGACAACTTTCAACTAATCAAGGGCCTTCAGGCATTTATTTTTTAAATATTCAATATGGGGTCGAAAGGTCTAATGCTCATCAAAAATTAAACCTAAGAATTTCTCTTCTTTTACTAATTTAATAGGCGTGTTATCTAAATATAAATGTGGATCGTTGTGAGGTTTATATTTCCGGCAAAAATGGATACAATTAGTTTTGAAAATTTAAATCCATTTTCCAAACACCATTTATCAATCTTGTTCAAACAAAGCTGTAGTTGCCTTTCAATAGTATGCATATTTTTTCCGCGACAAGATATATTAAAATCAACTACGAAAAGTGATCCATCAATTGAATCACTTAAAACCTTTGCTAAACTGTTGATTTTAATGCTAAATAAAGTGACTGATAAGATACTGCCTTGTGGGACACCCTGATCCTGAGTATAATGATCAGACAGGGTAGAACCCACGCGCACTTGCAATTGTCTGTCGGTTAAAAATTCGGATATAAATTGAGGCAGACGGCCTCTCAATCCAAAGTCATGTAAATCTTTTAAAATACCGTGCTTCCATGTAGTGTCATAAGCCTTTTCTAAATCGAAAAACGTTGACACTGCATGTTGCTTGTTTATAATGGCATTCTTAACGAATGACTCCAATCGAACTAAATGGTCAATGGTACTGGGATTTTTACGAAAACCACATTGAATATCTGTGATTAAATTATTCGATTCTAAGTACCATGTTAATCTGTTATTGGCCATGCGTTCCATGGTTTTTTTAAACGCAGCTAGTTAAAGAAGTTGGTCTATAATTAGATGGATCAGTGTGATTACGTCCAGGTTTGGGTATGGGTACAACTATGGCATCACGCCAGGATGAAGGAAATTTACCAGATGTCGAAATTCCATCAAAGATATTCAAAAGTGTCTCTAAACATGATTCCATGATTAGCAGTATTGTGAGCTTGTTCAAGAGCATTAAGAAGTTCATGAATAGAAAAGATTTCGTTATAATCTTCTCCGTTATTCGAATGAAAGTGTATATGCTTCTTTTCCTGTTTTTTGTTGTTGTATTTTTGAAATTTAGGAACATAGTTAGATGAGGAAGAATGTTTTGAAAGTGTTTCACCCAGTTTATTTGCGATATCAGATTTATCAGTTAACAATTTATCTCCAGTTTTGAGATGGTGTATACTTGATTTGGTACCCTTACCTTTAATTTTCTGGATCATGTTCCATACCTTTGACATTAGCGTTCTTGTATTTATCCTTGACACATCAAAGGTACGCCGGGCTTTAGCATTTAGAATTTTATAACTATTTAGGTTATGGACCATTGGACGGCGACGGAAATAATGTTCGGCCTTCTTCCGTGCCTTCCTAGCTTGTTTGCAGTCAGCTGTAAACCATGGTTTACGTACGTGAGGATTTGGAGAGGACAGCAATTTTGATAAGTTCATCAGAGAAACATTTTATAGGGTCAGTGGCATCAATAAAAACATCAGGTGTTAGTACATTAGTACAGAGATTTTCATACAATTGCCAGTTAGCCTTAGTGAAATTCCATCTTGATGATGGAGTAACATCAGATGGAGATACAGATTTTAATATGGTAGGGAAGTGGTCACTTCCGCACAGGTCATCTTGAACTGACCACTCAAATTCACTTAGTAAATTGGAATCTACAAGTGACAAGTCCAGACAAGAGTAAGTGCCAGTTCCCGGACGAAGATAAGTGTGTGAACCATCATTAAACATGCACAAATCATTGTTTGAGAAAAACTCCTCAAGGATTGTACCCTTTGTATTGCTGTTATTACTACCCCAAAGAGGGTTATGGCCATTTAAATCTCCCATGATAACACAGGGCTTAGGTAACTGGTCATATAATGCCTGCTGTCGAAGACAAAACGACGCCGGAATATATAAAGAACACAGGGTAAAACAATATGTAAGGTCACTCGTACAGCGACAGCCTGGAGAGGGGTATTTAGAGGACCAGGGCTGTAAATGACGCCCTGCCTCACCATAACAGAAGATCCTCCAGTAGCTTTATCACCCGGAGGAGAAAAGTGATGGTATGAATCATAATATCTCAAATCAAAATGATCTGTAGCTATAAGGAAACTTTCCTGTATGCAAAATGCTGATGGTTTTAGATCTTGTATTAATAGCTGAATATCATTAAAATTGTTGCGAAGTCCTCTACAATTCCACTGAATAACATTTGGTGAATTGATTGGACAGTGTTTGGAGACTGTTCTGCCACTAACTTCTTGGCATCAGCAAAAGATACATTATTGGTGTATTTGACCTTGATAATTTTGGTCTCTCTTTCAAACACAGGGCATGATTTAGAGGATGACATATGCTCACCATTGCAGTTTGCACATCTGATATCTCCAGAGCAGTCCGTGCCGTCATGATTTTTGCTACAACGGGAGCAAACTTGGTTGTTAAGACAGGATTTGGCCCCGTGTCCAAACTGTTGACACTTAAAACATCGGAGAGGATTTGGTATATACACATCAACTCCGATGTTAAAATATCCAGTTTGATGGAACTTGGAAGCTTTGAAAGAGCAAATGTCAACAGATAGGTATTCGTTTTAACAACTCTGTCATGGTCTTTTCTAGTGAATCGTTTAACAGATGTCACTCCTTGAGATTTTAGTTCCTGCGTAATTTCCTCCTCTGACATGTCAGACAGACATTTAGCTCTGTCGCGGACAATACCCCTGCATGAATTCAACGGTTTGTTCACCGAGACAGCGATTGGAGTATTTGCAAATGTTGTGCTTTCAGTAAATTTATGGATTGTTGTCGTCGGGCACATTCTATTAAAAGAGAACCTGACCGAAGACGAGTAACGTTTCTCACGTCACCACAAATACCTTCAACGGCTTTGGATACTGCAAATGGATTTATTTTGAGGGGCAGACCATCAATGCCTTCTACAACTAAACAACGTGGCCATGAGTTAACATTAGTAGAAGATTCATCATCAGAAGATGAAACAGTATCTGTCTCCAAATGTCTTCTCTTATTTTTACTGCGAGAACCAGTGAGTATTTGTGTAGCCATAATGAGAGAAGTAGATTCGACATCCCCGCTCCCCACCCACCATGGAGTGTCAACAAGGACGGTGTTGAAGTGGAAACCGACTACGGAACACCAGGGTTACAAGGATGTTATACTCGAGCAATAAAGACACTAATGTAGCTAATGTAGCCAAACAGAATAAAATTCAGGCTGGTTCTGCCCTTGACAGTTATCTGAAGGCAATTAGAACCTGGAGGTCAGTAATACCAGTATGCCTTCTGGCATAGGACTGTAGGCAATTTGATGTATCAATAATTTATAATCAGGAAATCGAAAAAGCCAACACCCAAGAAATGAGAAAAATGTGCAAAAATATTCACCATGCACATGGCTTGTCCTGACCAGCCGATTGATAGAACCGGGCCAGTTCTACCACCCGTCTATGTGAAGTAAGGGGCGAAGTGGTGTGTTGGGCAAAAGGAACACGGTTCCAGGCTCCCAGTGCCCTCAACCACCAGACTCCCGTCCTCCACCGACACAGGGGCGCAACCCACGGTAAACGGGTTGGTCGACCAAATATACCCCCGGGTCCACAACGGGGGGTTGAAGAACACTTAGCGTTACCCATCACCTACCACGAGGAGGTGGCTCTTCAAGGGTGCCAGGTCTTTTTAGACCATGAGCTAATTCAAATGAAGTCCGCGGTTCTGTTTCATTAACACTTTAACACATTCATTAGCAAACGTCGACATGAGGTAGATTTGTTGTTTAACACTCAGCAATAGTCCAGCTATATGGTGGCGATCTGTAAACAATCGAGTCTGGACCAGACAATCAAATGAACAAACAACATCAGCATCGATCTGCGCAACTGAGAACCGATGACATGTGTTAACCAAGTCAGTCACCCTGACCACCCGATCCCTTACGACAAGCATGGGATACTGAAGACCAATTCTAACCCGGATCTTCACAGGTCTCGACACACATGTTGCACATGAGGCATATTTGGCGCAGAAAGCAGGTTTCATATTGCACGATTCGCCCAAGCAGGGAAATCCTAACAATGTAAATGTGACAGTATGTCATAAACAGGAAGATATTCAGACAGAATATATTAGATAATATTGTACTTCAATATATTTTACTTTAATGAAATATGCAATATCCTTTCTATAAAATCACCTTTTGTCCATAATAATATCACTCTGCATCAGTCTGTGCAATTGGAGTCGCATGAACTGGGGCGGTGGGTTAGCCTAGTGGTTAAAGCGTTCGCTCGTCACGACGAAAGCCCGGGTTCGATTCCCAATATGGGTACAATTTGTGAAGCCCATTTGTAGTGTCCCCCGCCGTGATGTTGCTGGAATATTGCTAACAACGGCGTAAAACCATACTAAGTCAGTCAGTCAGTCAGTCGCATGAACTAATACAATTGCACTTATCACCCATGTCTGGATGAACAATGTACAATATACTGAATGTTATTCTCTTGAATCTTGCTCTCATGTTAAACAATAAGCATAACTGTCACTCATCACAGAACGTTTTTGATCACAGGACCAGCATACAAAATCTTTGTAACAATGAGTTTCAACATGTATAACTCGACACGTCTTCGGAAGAGTCTAGATAAACGCGCTCGTCAACGCCCCTGAAATATATGATATGAATCACTGGATCATCTGGTCCAGACTCGATAATTTACAGACGCCATCATATAGCTGGAATATTGAAGAGTGCGGCGTCTAACAGCAAACGAACGTATCACTGTGGGTAAATATTTCCATTTGGTTGCCAATGTCAACATGTTTTAAAAACCAGCTTCGAAGCTTATGATCATGATCAAATTTCACTCACTATCGAGGTTGAATTACCAATAGCAAAAGTCACCCTATCATCCTTCGACAAAATGCCATGCGGTGTCTGTGAGTCCCTAACGGTTTTCTGTGTCGTCCGTGCAAACCTACCACGTACAACACGTGAGAGAGTCATCTCATCTTCTGCATTTTACTCACAGAGGTATTGTGTCTGGAACTTTATAGGCACGCTATTCTTTCATGACGTAAGAAAATATTTTTATCGATTATACGTTTCACTTTCTGCTAGACATACTTCATTTGTCGTTGACACTTTTAATGGACAGGTATACGCCTTCTTTTACCGGAATGTATGCGTTAGCAATATGAACTTTGGGAAAAACCGTTGTACGATACTCTGATACAGTACTGACTATATAATACAAGATAAGCACATATAGCAGCCTGTAATATTCCAGTCTCATTTTGACTGCACTTACGCTACATGTCTACATAGCGACAACATTCGTAATGTATTTCTTGGATTCATTTGTTACTTTGTCTAAAATGATGTCATATGCAATTCCCTGTTTTGACTTTTACCAAAGGTGTATTTTTGTTCACTACGTTTATTTACAAATGCCCCGTGGGGCAAGGAATAAAGTGTTTCCTATGCTTGTCATCTGGGATGGTGTACAACGTTGGAAAATCAAATGTCCGTTTCAAAAATGTTAAAATTCAAGCATATCATTTAATTTCGCTTGTCTCCAATGCATTCTGAGAACACTCAGAAAGCCCTTCCATGACAGTATAATTGAAGATTATGGTTAATCTTTGAGACAGGGGTTTGATGGTATATTTAAAAGCTGTTTAAGCTGTTTAAGCAGTATAACTCAAATATTATGTGATGACCACAGAAGTAGCAGATGAAGTGAAATATATTATTTTCACTTTTAGCATGGGGCGGTGGTAGACTAATGGTTAAAGAGTTACCTCGTCACGCCGAAGACCCGGGTTCGATTCCCAACATGGATACAATATGTGAAGTCCATTTTTGGTGTCCGACGCCGTGGTATTGCTGGAATATTGCTAAAAGTGGCGTAAATACCAACTCACTCACTCACTGTACCTGCAGCATATGTTAAGTTTTTTTCTCAGTCTTTTGTGACTGTCAGTGGCCTGTGGTGGAGCAGACGTTTGTCGCGTTATCTCAAACACCTGTTACTATGGTTGGTTCACAGCTTTACACAGCAGGATGTGTAAATCATATGTTGTACCACAGATACACTGCGAAAGGCATTACGTGGCGTTATAACATATACTCTACCCAAAATGGAACGCATAGGTGATATTGATATTTGAAATTTCAAATATTTTTCAAAATTAGTGTTTGGTTTTAATTTCGCCATTATAATGTTGGTTTGTGTACATGAAACGAATGCACGGTTTGAAACTGCAGCGCAGGATGCATGTAGGTACATCTTATCGAACTATCACAGCAAGTGCAAGTGCAGTGCCAGGTTTGGGGAGAGTGTCAAGGGAAACCATTCGTAATCGTTCCCAAGAAGCTGGACTTCGAGCCAGAAGACAGTATTTTGGTCCTGTGCTGCGACGACTACATCAACGTCGCCAGTGGTGCAATAGCGTTCGATTCTGGAATCTACAAAACTGGCCACGTATATGGAGCAGTGATAACTCACGTTTTCTGCTTCTGTTCCGTGACGAAAGAGTACCTGTCTTTCGAAATGAACAGAATTGTGTCGCCCAGGTTGACCGATATGGTGGTGGTAGTGTCATGAGGAAAAAAAAAGAAAATCTATATCAGAGTATCCAAAGATGGAACCCATGTTTTACTCAATTAGGATAAAAAGATTGGGCCAGAAATATCTGCAGGAAAACAATTCCGCCCGAAATGTCTACAGAAATTAAGTTTCAAAGCCAATTCGCGAGCTTATGAACACATGAAAACACTTGCACATTAATATTTTTTCATTCATCGAGATCTCTCCAGTGATATGTCTTTGTAGCTTGCTTCCTACTGTGTGTCAAGTTAGGACCGGCCTTATGTTTAAGTATATATGGTCAAGTTTGTTCGCTTAAGTCAAAAACTGTCAGGCGTGCATGTGATTGAAAATGAACATATGTGCTACATCTGTCGATGACAACATGTGTTGTCCTATCGGTGAAATCACTTCAGTTCATATTCTGTCTTCACTCTTGCTATTGTGGAATGAACAAATGTCTCATTGCAATCTGTCTAGTGCTGCATCCATTCCTGTGTCTTCAGGTTACAGTTTACAGATTAATAGTAAGTTGTGTCTATATGTACGACTCTTAACTATCCATTTTACTTTGGGTATAATGGGTTATTCAATCAGTTTATCGTGATATGATAGTCCGTGTTTATGAAAGAAAGTTGAATATTCGGTAGTTTTCTGTGAATGCTAGAGAATAAAATCTCTTAAGAGGTGAAGTAAAAAGGTTTGGCACTGCATGACGAGGTCCCATAGCACGGGACAATTGGCGTGTCACATTTAGTTGCAGTCAAAAGCGATTACAGCAAGGGGTTTTATGTACACTGTATGCTGAAAGCCAGTTAATCCCAGTTAAAGGGTTTCACTGCAATTGTCAGCGGTTATGTATATTGTGTATACATTAATCATTTCCTGTCTATTCTTGCACATGTAAACAATGAGCGAAGAAACATGAATAAAATACGTTTCCACTATGTATATATATACACATGAGCATTAATTAAGCATCACCTGAATACAAGGGCAATTTAAAGGAAATTGAGTCCCAAATGGCGATCATACCCTTGCATACTGTATTGCACTTGTAAAGCACAATATCCAATTAAGCCCATATCATAACTGAGTGAGTTAATATTTAGCGTCACATCGGCACTATTTCAGCCATACCGTGACGAGAACAGTTTATAAATTACAGACGAA